CTAAACCCTAAACCCTACCGTGCCCCTCCCCCCACCCTCTTCTAAAGGCAGCTCAGGGTCGTCCCCTAGATTCTTGTTCTTGCCGATGAACAGCGCGAAGGTCGGCAGGAGCTGGCGGTAATAGGGAACCTTGGCTTGGCTGCACTGAGCAGGGTTTAGGGTTTAGGGTTTAGGGTTTAGGGTTTAGGGTTTAGGGTTTAGGGCTTAGGGCTTAGGGTTTAGGGTTTGGGGTTTAGGGTTTAGGGTTTTGGGTTAGGGTTTAGGGTTTAGGGTTTAGGGTTTAGGGTTTAGGGTTTAGGGTTTAGGGTTTAGGGTTTAGGGTTTAGGGTTTAGGGTTTAGGGTTTAGGGTTTAGGGTTTAGGGTTTAGGGTTTAGGGTTTAGGGTTTAGGGTTAGGTTTAGGGTTTAGGGTTTAGGGTTTAGGGTTTAGGGTTTAGGGTTTAGGGTTTAGGGTTTAGGGTTTAGGGTTTAGGGTTTAGGGTTTAGGGTTTAGGGTTTAGGGTTTAGGGTTTAGGGTTTAGGGTTTAGGGTAAACCCAAAAAGGCTAAGGATCTAAAGTTATAGTAAAGCACCACAGAGTTGGCTGGCGAACAAGCGCTGTCAAGAGGAGTCAGTCCCAGAGGACACAGCGCGCCCAGTTCTGGAGTAGTAGGGTTTAGGGCTTAGGGTTTAGGGTTTGGGGTTTAGGGTTTAAGGTTTAGGGTTTAGGGTTTAGGGTTTAGGGCTTAGGGGTTGGGGGCTACGGGTTAGGGGTTAGGGGTTAGGGCTGCACAAGATGTTGGACCACCCGTCAGTCGCTCAGACAGGCTGTTTCAGGGCTTAGGGCTCGGGTTTCAGGTGGGCTTCGTGCTGACACGACGCGCCCAGTTCTGAAGTAGTTGGGTTTATAGGGCTTAGGGCTTAAGTTTAGGGTTTAGGGCTTAGTGAAATCAAGGGTGGCCTAACGGTTGGAACCCAAGATCCGGCAAAAGCCCCCGTGCCCCAACCGCCGCCCCTTACCCTTCAGCAGGAGTTGCGAGGGCTTCTCCGATCATGTCACCACTGAGCACCAACGTCTGCAACACCTTCGAGGATTCAAAGGTTTCTGGATGCGTGATCCTCTGCCCCGACCCCGAGCCAAGCAAAGGATGATTGTCAAACACCCCCAACATGGTCCTCCGCCGGGCCTTTAGGACGGTACAGATGATGGTCGGGTCCTCACCCAAGCAAGGGCACACGGAGGCCGAGGCTGCTAAGGGCGTAGGGGGAACCCTAAACTCTAAACCCTGAAACCCTAAATCCCGCGAATTCGGGTCGAGAGGGGGTGCAGAGGAGGTTGAGGGTGTAGGGTTAGAGGGCCATGACACCTGCATTTGTATTTCTGTATGAATACTACAGTTGTATGCATATTTGGCCATTGTCATATACTCATACTTATATACCTGGATGTTTATACAAACTGCTTTTGTATGTTTATACTTTATATACAGTTTATTGATTCCCTTACATGTATGCATATATATATATATATGTATGTATGTAGATAGATATTTCTATTTGTCTTGACATTCATACTTCCACAGCGATTCAGACATTTGTTGTTCTGTCCTTTCTTATTCGTTCGCATACTTCCTTGTGGATGCCCTGCGCGTTAGGATGGAGGACTTTGGGGCGCCGGGCCCTGGCCCCAAACCCTGAACCCACATCAGCTCTGGTGACCAGAAGCATACACCATCCTACACCCGAGTCCCAGAGACCCTTGGGATCCTTTGGTTTCCTGGCCGGTCCTTCGTGTTCAAAGCCACCTTGACTGGAACGATCAGCTGTGGAACCTCGGGTAGCCACTGCCAACAAGATTTGGGGTTTAGGGTTTGTAGGGTTTAGGGTTTAGGGTTTAGGGTTTAGGGCTTAGGGTTTAGGGTGTAGGGTTTAGGGTTTAGGGTTTAGGGTTTAGGGTTTAGGGTTTAGGGTTTAGGGTTTAGGGTTTAGGGTTTAGGGTTTAAGGCAGTTTGAGATCCACAAATGCTCACAACTATTTCCCCGGCTACCCAACATGCCGAACCTCACAGCTTCAATCACCTGAGCACTGAAGAAATACCCCCAGCCGGAAACCCCAAAACCCGGTTTAGGGTTTAGCGCTTGGGGCTTAGGGCTTACGGACAACCCAAAACCCTAAAACCCTAAAACCCTAAAACCCTAAAACCCTAAAACCCTAAAACCCTAAAACCCTAAAACCCTAAAACCCTAAAACCCTAAAACCATAAAACCCTAAAACCCTAAAACCCTAAAACCCTAAAACCCTAAAACCCTAAAACCCTAAAACCCTAAAACCCTAAAACCCTAAAACCCGAAAACCCTAAAACCCTAAAACCCTAAAACCCTAAAACCCTAAAACCCTAAAACCCTAAAACCCTAAAACCCTAAAACCCTAAACCCTAAACCCTACACCTTAAACCCTAGAACAAAGAGAGAAACCCCGCGTCCGAGGCGCCACGGGAAGAATGCGAGCGCCCCCCCGTGCTAGCATGTCGTAGGTGCCCGTCACGGCCAGGAAACGATAGGGATCCTGAGGGCATGAGGGTTTAGGGCTCTTGTTTGGGGTTTAGGGTTTAGGGTTTAGGGTTTGGGGTTTAGGGTTTAGGGTTTAGGGTTTAGGGTTTAGGGTTTAGGGTTTAGGGTTTAGGGTTTAGGGTTTAGGGTTTAGGGTTTAGGGGAATCGGGTAATCCTTAAACAAATCTACCAGTGTTGCGGGTGCAGGGGTAGATGGGCTTAGGTTTTCGGATATTTGGCGTTGAGATTTAAGGGGCGCTTGGCCCATGAACCCTGAACCCTACACCTGAAATCTTACTTCTGAAATTTCAGTACGTTCTAAAGCGTGAGCTCTACTCCCAAGACCCAAGATCCGAGCCCGGTTGGGCCCGCCCCAGCTCCTAAATCCTGGAATCCTGACACCACTCGGCCCAAAACTAAACCTCCATGTATCCCCCTAAGCCCATCGAGCACCTAATCCCCTTAACCCTCCACCGGGGTCCCTAAACCCCAAGCCCTAAACCCTTTGACCCTCATCCCTAAACCTGAAACCCCAAACCCTAAACCCTGAACCCTCAACCCTCAACCCTAAGTGTCCTCCTTCTCTCGAAGCCCCTCGAAGAAGATGGGCAAGTAGTGATGGTAGTCGAGCCTCTCGAGATCCACCTCAAGCGGCGTCAGGAGCTCAGGGGCTTGGGGTGGGGGGGGGGGGGGGCTTCGGGGTTAGGGTTTAGGGTTTAGGGCTTAGGGCTTAGGTTTTAGGTTTTAGGGTTTAGGGTTTAGGGTTTAGGGTTTAGGGTTTCGGGTTTGAGGTTTAGGGCCTTCTGGGGTAACAAGGGCTCTCGAAAAGGGAGCATGCCGTCGTTGAAGAGCCTTTGCTTTGAGGGCGTGGGGATTGCAGCTTGAGGATCATGGAGTTTGGGAGTTTAGGGTTTAGGGTTTAGGTTTTAGGGTTTAGGGTTTAGGGTTCAGGGTTTAGGGTTTAGGGTTTAGGGCTTAGGGCTTGCGGGAAATCTACGCTGCCCAGTTCAACACCTCAGCGTTCGAAGTGAGTTGAGGGCGTGATTGGGATGTTGTGGCCCTTGCTCACCTCACCCCACCTTTCTCGTATCCTCCTTTAGCACCGATGCTATGGATTCCACAGCCCCAAACCCCAAGCCTTGGGGTGTAGGGCTTAGGGTGCAGTATTCCAGGGTCTAGGGCTTAGGGCAACACAGGAACCCCACCTTCAAACCCCCAACCCTAAACCTTCCAAAAAACAAGAAGCCTAGAACCCAAACCCAAAAATCCTAAACCCTAAACCCTAAACCCCTACACCACGTGCCTTCCAGGTGATCTTCCCCCCTACCGAGCCATGGAGGATGGAGATGGGGAGGTCGCCACGGTCGTAGAAGTTGCGGAAGTGGGTGGTGGGAACCACCTGGGCTGAGGGTTTAGGGTGTAGGGTTGAGGGTTTAGGTTAGGGTTTAAGGTTTAGGGCGGTTTAGGGTTTAGGGTTTAGGGTCTATAGTCTAGGGAGCTCCCCTTGTCGCAAGGGAGAGGGAGGAGGAGGAGGAGGAGATGGTTGTCGAGGGAAAGCCTGGTTGCAGCCTTTGCTTGGAAGGGACAATCGTTTCGAGGTCTCCTGTCCCTGCAACCTGAATTCCCCTAAGCCCTAAACCCCAAGCCCTAAACCCTAAACCCTGAACCCTAAACCCGAAACCCCAAACGATCTTCACCCCTCAGCTCGATACATTCAACACTGAAAACCCCTCTCAACTTCGGCTTGATCAGGGAGCGAAGGGTTTAAACCCAAAAGCCTGAAAACAAAACAACAGTCCTCAGCCCTAAACCCTAAAACCAAAAGCCCTAAAACCTAGATCCCAAAGCCAAGCCCCAACAAAACAACAGCCCGAATATTGGTGCCGGAATAATTAGAACAGGGTTGTGGAGGGTTAGACTAGTATAACTACATAGGTGCCGGAATAATCAGAATTGGGTTTTGGGGGTTAGAATAGTATAATTACAACAAAGGGACCATAAGGGAATACTATTAGTAACTATTCCGACCCCTATATTCAAGCCTTTGGTGAGCAAAGGGCTCAACGATCCTTCTTCTTCAAGGTGCTGCTTTAGGACGGATGCATTGGGATGTTCCCCCTTATACTAACAGCTCCTTCATAGGGATTCTAGTACCCCCTATTCTAATCCCTATTAAGGACTGTTAGTATAGGGGGGAACATCTCGAGGGGTGCAGGGTTCATGGGGTTAGAGTGTAGGGTTTAGGGTGAATTGTTTAGGGTTTAGAGCTTTAGTTTTCAAGGCTTCTGGGTTGCCCGCCTGAGCAGCAAAACTGCGAAGCCCAAGCCCGTGACCCAAGCCGAAGCCTCGCGCCCTAAACCCGAGCCCGCAAAGGCTTGAGCCTCAAAAGCCCGCACAAACCCAAAAGCGAAATCACAAACAGGCGACGCTAAGAAACAAAACCCACAAAACCCACAAGACAAAACCAAAACAAGACCCACAAACCCCCCAAAACCCCCCAAGGCCTTGTACAAACCCCTAGAAAAGACCCCCGAAACCCTCAACCCTAGACCCTAAACCCTATACCCAGAACTTCGCAGCCAGCCCTCCGCGCGGCGGCGGCAGCCGGTAGTTGGCGGCGAGTCTGGCGGGAGGTGCGGGTTCCAGCTGAAGCCCTGCGTCCTGGCTTGGTTAGGGCTAGTTTTTAGAGTTTAGGGTTTAGGGTTTAGGGTTTAGGGTTTCGGGTTTAGGGTTTAGGGTTTAGGGTTAGGGTTTAGGGTTTAGGGTTTAGGGTTTAGGGTTTAGGGTTTAGGGTTTAGGGTTTAGGGTTTTTAGGGTTTAGGGTTTAGGGTTTAGGGTTTAGGGTTTAGGGTTTAGGGTTTAGGGTTTAGGGTTTAGGGTTTAGGGTTTAGGGTTTAGGGTTTGGGGTTTAGGGTTTAAGGTTCGAATTTTGGGGTTGAGGGTTGAGGGTTTAGGGGTTAGGGTTTAGGGTTTAGGGTCCGCGGTTTAGAGTTTGGGGTTCATATAGGTCATCTCTGAATTAGGGTCCCTTTTGGGAACGGCACCCTTAAAAGAAGGACCCCAAAAGGGATCCTCATTCAGAGAACTACCCAGTTGGACGATAAGGGCTTTGGGTTTAGGATCCTGGCTGTTTGGGGCCACTGCTTTGGGTTGTGGGCTCATAGCCTTTATGTCGGATCCGGATTGCCTTCATGTGTGTTTCTTTCTTTCTCTTTGTCTGTCTGTCTTTCAAACCCTAGAAACCCCATAAATCCTATAAAACTATGCACCCTAAAACTATAAACCCTATGAGCCATCTAAGACCTATAAACCCTAGTAACCCTGTAAACCCTATAAACCCCGCAAACTATAAAATCCCAAAAGACCTGAACCCTAAACCCTAAACCCTACCCCCTGTTGCCTCCATGTGTTGCTCCCCTGCCTCATGGGGGTCAGGATTTTTCGGGCATGGGTTTTTGGGTTTAGGGTTTGGGGCTAGGGTTTAGGGTTTAGGGCGTCGGGGTTTAGGGCTGTCCTGCGGAACGTGCTTAGCCCTGGATCGGAGCTGATGCGGGGCAGCATCTGCGTGCGGGACATCTTGGCGGTCTTCCTTGGGCGCGGCGTACCCGTTATCTTCGGCGTAAGCCCAGAACTCTGAACCCTGAACCCTGAACCCTGAACCATGGATTCTGAACCATAAACCCTAACCCTACAGCCCAAACTCCTAAACCCTAAACCCGAAACCCCTAAACCCTAAACCCGAAACCCGAAACCCTAAACCCTACAGCGTAAAAACTGAAAAGCACCCAAAAGAAAGTCGAAGCTCACAACCACCAAAGCCTTGGGACAGGAACCCTGAACCCTAAACCCAAAACCTCAACGGCTAGCAGAGGGCTCGAGCCTACAACCCCGAAACAGTAGGCAATGTTAATGAGCGGTTTGGGGCCTAGGGTTTGGGTTATGGGAGAGTTTAGGGTTTAGGGTTTAGGGTTTAGGGTTTAGGGTTTAGGGTTTAGGGTTTAGGGTTTAGGGTTTAGGGCTTAGGGCTTAGGGTTTTTGAAGCCTTGGATTGGCGCCAGGCCGCAGCTTGGACTTAACGCCCTCTGGGAGGTAGTCGTGCGGGAAGTCCCCAAAGCAGGAGTGGCTGCCCATGTCCATGAATCCCCGGGACTTCTCGTACCTCCCAAGCTAGGGTTTAGGGTTTAGGGTTTAGGGTTTAGGGTTTAGGGTTTAGGGTTTAGGGTTTAGGGTTTAGGGTTTAGGGTTTAGGGTTTAGGGTTTAGGGTTTAGGGTTTAGGGTTTAGGGTTTAGGGTTTAGGGTTTAGGGACGGCCGAGCCATCAAGCTTAGGGGCCCCAAAACCCCAAACCCTGTAGAAGCCCTAAACCCCAAAGCCCCTAAACCCTAAGCCCTATATGAACCCTAAACCCTAAACCCCAAACCCGAAACCCTAAACCCTAAAGCCCTAAACCCTAAACCCTAAACCTTCGAGGCCGGCGTGGCCTTCGTTTGGGGGGGGGCTTTGTCAACCACCGCGCCCCTGCTCAGGCAGGTGGTGATGATGCTTCTCCCTAGCCCGAGGGCCCTGTATCTTACGAATATACTCTTTGAATTTGTTATTTATCTATTTATATATGTACTTACTTATTTACACATATATGTATATATGTATGCTGTTTATGCACGCGCACACACACACACACGTATTCATGTATTTACACTTGTTTTTTGTGTTTCTATTTGTCTATGCGCCGACACCCTGACTTTTGGGGCTCTGCGAACATCACCCAAGAGTCCTCAAAGAGACTTCTCCAGAGGCGGGCTTAGGCTTGCGGCAACCCTGAACCTTAAACCCCCAAACCCTCCTAAACCCTCAAACCCTCAAACCCTCAAACCCTCAAACCCTCAAACCCTCAAACCCTCAAACCCTCAACCCTAAACTAAACCCCCAACCCGAAACCCTCAAACCCTCAAACCCTCAAACCCTCAAACCCTCAACCCTAAACCCTTAACCCTAAACCCTGAACCCTAAACCCCACACTTGCCTGGGCCCGCACTTCCCGTCTTTGCGCACCATTGCCCTGGGCGAGGCGGCGAGCTGCTAAGAGCACGCTGGGAGTGTAGGGCCCTGAGGCTTAAGGGCATACATGTGTGCATGAATGACTTATCTATGTATCTATCCATCTATCCATCTATCTATCAATCTATCTATGTATCTATCCATTTATCTATCTATCTATAACCTATGTATCTATCTGTCTATCTATCTACATATACATACACATAAATAAAGAAATCACATACATGGATTGTTTGTTCTAGGCGTTAGGATTTCGGGTTATAAATCTGTATATGCATCTATATCTTATATATATACTTATATACTTATATGCAGGGTTGCAAGGGTGAGGGGGGGGAGGGTTTAAGGGGGAACGGAAAGGAACTCCAAAACCCTATAAAACCCTAAACCCTAGACCCCAAACCCTCAACTTCTTGTGCGGACAAGAGCTAAACCGGAAACCCTAATAAAGAAAAACAAAAGAGCCAAAAAGACACCCTGAAAGAATCTGATAAAAAGAAACTGAACCGAAAACCCGAAACCCTAAACCCGAAACCCTAAACCCTAAACCCTAAAAGGAAAAAAACAAACAAGAAAACCGAACCAACAACGCCCGAGTCGCTGCAAGGCATCCTCCATCCTTGGAGCTGCAGTTTAGGGTTTAGGGTTTAGGGTTTAGGGTTTAGGGTTTAGGGTTTAGGGTTTAGGGTTTAGGGTTTAGGGCTTAGGGCTTAGGGCTTAGGGTTTAGGATTCAGGGTTTAGGGTTTAGGATTTAGGGTTCGGGGCTTAGGGCTTAGGGTTTAGGGTTTAGGGCACTCGCACTCACACTCACACTCACACTCACTTTAGGGTTCAGGTAAACCCCCCAAATAGTACCCTACACTACTCTTAGGCCATTCTTCGGAACTCGAAGGGGATCTATTTTTGGGATCCTCCCAGGGGTCTGGGTTCGGGTGCTCTTCAATCCAAAAACCCCAAAACCCCCAAAATCCCCTAAACCCCCAAACCCCAAAATCCCCTAAACCCCTAAACCCCTAAACCCCCAAACCCCTAAACCCCTAAACCCCCAAACCCCTAAACCCCTAAACCCTAAACCCTAAATCCTAAACCCTAAACCCTAAACCCTAAACCCCTAACCCCTAAACCCCAAAACTCCCAAAGGCAAGGCTCATCAGGGTGGCCGCTGGGCCCGGCATCGTGGCGAAGGTGGTAGCTGCGGTGATCGGAAGCACGCCTACCTACCTCCTCTGGGAGCCCCCCACAAGGCCGCCGCAGCAAGGACTTTAGGGGTTTAGGGTTTAGGGTTTGGGGTTTAGGGTTTGGGGTTTAGGGTTTAGGATTTAGGGTTCAAGTTGGGTGTAGGAGCCCAGGGGTTAAGGGTTGACATTGGGTTTTTTGGGGGTCTAGGGTTTAGGGTTTAGGTTTTAGGGTTTAGGGTTGACGGGTTTAGGGGTTCAGGGTTTTGAGGTTTTGGGGTTTGGGGTTTTCAGGGCTTGTGGCTTTAGGGTTTTACTGTGAAAAATATAACACAAACCCAAATAAGGAAAACAATCTGAACCCTAAACCCTAACCGCGCCAAGGCCCAAAAACCTGTGCGCTCAACTCTCTTGGTTTCGGGTTTGGGCGGGTTGATGGGTACGGGTTTAGGGCTCATTGCCCTTAGCTCAAGGACTAAACCCCAAAGCTCACAGCCTAAACTCTAAGGCCTGGAAACCGCAAATCCCAAACCAATCGGGCGGGGAAGCTTTCGTAAATTGAGGGCTGAAGAAGTCTGTGGCCGCCAGAGCCCTACTAAGACTCCCACCAAGCTACCCTGTTTCTACCCTTCCAGAACGTACCTAGTTGTAGGGCCCCCGTAAACTCTACATTAGGAAATCTGTATGGTCACTAAGAAAAAAGTAGGCTCTGGAAGGTTCAGGCGGCTTAATCATATCGTCACTTTTCAAAATTATGGTCCCTGTTGGGGTACCCTAAATACTAGGGGTCGCCTTGTAATAGTAACCCCAAAAGGGACTGTATTTTAGAGAGGTGACCATCAGACACAAAAACAGATGAGAGAACGAAGCTTGGCAACTCAAAGGGCCTCCAGCGCGTTGAAGTTGCGGTCTCGAAACAGCACCATCTCACCTGGCATGCCCCCGCTGGCGCTTGCATCCACTCCGCAGGTACAGATATGAAGCAGGGGTGAATATTACTAGCATACCCACAAAAGGACTCGCAATGTACACACTCAACAATGTTAACGGGGAACCGAAAATACAGTCACCAAAAACCATAAGAAAGGCCCTACCTCACATAAATTCGGAACCTCAGGAGCCATCACATCCCAAACCACAGGACCTTCAGCACAAGATGGGTGCCCCACAGCAGCCAAGACAACGCAGCTAAACTCAGAGAGAGAGCACGAAGAAGAGCGTAGGGTTTAGGGTTTAGGGTTGAAGGCTTAGTAGGGTTTAAGGCTTAGGGTTTAAGGCTTAGGGTTTAGGGTTGAGTGCGTCTTGTCTCCCCCCACCCCCGCCCCCCGCGCCCCCCAAAGACCAAAACCTTCATGGGCCACTCAAGGGACCCCAAAACCCCTAAACCTGGGCCCCTTGCTCATGTTGATGTTGAGGGATTCCCTTTTAGGGTTTAGAGTTCAAACCCTCAACCCCAAACCCTAAACCCTAAACCTAGAGATGTCAGCCCTGGCGGCCTGGATCCGGATCCCGCAGCAGCCAGACCTCCCGAGGCCCGAATTGACTCCAGGAGGCCGCGGGCATCTTAGGGCTTAGGGTTTGGGGTTTAGGGTTTCGGGTTTAGGGTTGAGGGTTTAGGGTTTAGGGTTTAGGGTAGTTACATGGTCCTTGGTATGGGCCCTTTAAGAGGGGACCCCTTACAGACCCCTTAAAGACCCTACACAACCCAAGGGCCCATACTTCAGAACCCTTTGAAGGAGGTAAGGGGCCCTACTAAGGGCGCATGAAACTACCCTTAAGAGAGCACACGTTGTTTCCGAGAATTTGGGGTACCCTTTGCGGGCGTCCCTATACTAAGGATTGCAGCATGTTGGGAGATCACAAGGGGGCTTAAGAGGCTCAACATCCAGCGCAGTGAAACCCTAAACCCACAGACGTACACGACTTTTGCTTAACCTGCAGTCCTGAAACCCTACACCCAAGAAAAGTTTAGCGGCAGTTTAGCGGTGCCCCTCCCTGGATCTACTCCCCGGCAAGCCTTGGAAAAAGCCAGGAACATGCGCTTTACATTTTAGGGGTTTGGGGTTTAGGGTTTGAAGGTTAAAGGGTTTAGGGTTGGGACGTTCCCCCTTTGTACTAACAGTCCTTGATGGGGATTATAGGAGGGGGTACTAGAATCCCAACTAAGGACTGCTAGTATAAGGGGGAACATCCCAAGCTTATGGTTTAGGGTGTAGGGTTTAGGGTTGAGGGCCCTGTAAGCCTCTGGAATTTGATGTCTGCCGCCAGGTCTTAAACCTCGAGCCGCCAAATCCTCCACATTACCACTCTCAACCCTTAAACCCACATCCGACACCCTAAAAAAACCACAAAACGCCTGAATACCCTAAAATCTTGAAGGCCCGAATTTATCTCAAGCCCTTCAGAATAGACGTTATGTTTTTCAAGAGCCCTAAAGAGTCCTTTAAGGCCCGAAAGCCCCCGAAACTAAACCTAAACCCTTAAAACACCCTTTAAAAACAAAAAACAAAGATACCCAAACAAAGATACCCTAAACCCTAAACCCTAAACCCTAAACCCTAAACCCTAAACCCTAAACCCTAAACCCTAAACCCTAAACCCTAAACCCTAAACCCTTTAAAAAAAAAAAAAAACTAACGATACCCATCCTCGGGCTTGCTCACGCGGCCTGCAGGGCAAACTGCCCCTCTGCGGGCTGGAAACCTGGGAGGGCACGACGCGAGGGACTCCGTAAACCCAAGAGAGACCCTGGGAACCCAACTTGGGTTTGGGGTTTGGGGTTTGGGGTTTAGGGTTTAGGGTTTAGGGTTTGGAGTTTAGGGTTTGGAGTTTAGGGTTTAGGGTTTAGGGTTTAGGGATATTGGGGACCCTCGGAACCCTAAACCCTGTAACCGTAGACAACA